AAATAAATAGTCAAACCTCAACCAAGAAGTTGTCCGGATCATCAGCGTCTGGTTGCGTAGCATGAAATCGCCGCACAAAAGCAAACCCTCCCGCAAGAGGAGAAGCCCTAGAGCTTGCTGGGACGCATTTGCTATCATTAGAGGCAGACGAAGGTACAGGAGGAGGATTCATTCGTGCTGTAAGCTGCTCCAATCTATTCCTAATTTCATCCCGAGCATGAACCATGCGAATACGTTGGTCAACGGAAAATGCCGGATGATGAATAGAAGCAGATACTGAAGTGTGAACTCTTACTAAATGGAACCATAAACTACTCCGAGCAATAAATGAAACTTTCTCCAATTTCTTATCAAATCAAAAAAAGTGTGCGGGTTTCCACTATAATTTTAGAGACAGACATAGATCACATTTCTGGAAAATAACCATACACATATTTTTTTTAGATAAATTAAACGCTGCACATAAAAATCAATGGCTTGAAATAATGGATATGGGTGGATATGATAATTAGTGATTTGAAGCGTGCGAATGTACTCCACAAGCGTAAAAGTACAGTTTTCAGACTAGTCTTAAATTGGAAAAAATTTGGCTATGGAATTGAACAAAGCAAAATTCATCTTGAATCAAAAGCCAATTTCATTACACTTACCTAGTTTACCAAGATTGATAAGCACTTCACGACGAGCCTCATCGGTTGAAAGCATTTCCAGTTCCAAATCTCTAATTGTCATTAAGTGATCAATAAGTCGAATCAGAGCATGTGCACCTTGACGATTTGCAGAGCTTAGTAAGCAAACTACATTATAAGCAGCTTCAACCTTGAGCGCATAAGGGATTTGACTCCTGTAAAAGACAAATTTAACATAACACCTTTTGACGTTGTTTAAAGGACGAACATTTCCGTAGCCATAGTACTGATGAACTGAGGGCAGTTAGAGCGAGTTTCGTGCTGCCGCATAGTGGGAGTTGACGAAGCTGGTCGCGCAGCTCCTTCTACACAAGCTCCCAGCAATCGAAGCTCGTATATATTCAGAAATGAGACCAATTCACAAATCGTATCCACACGATCCCAAGACGACATCTGTAAGAGAAATATCTCATTCGGTAGCGAGAATGCACTTTCATACAGAAGATGCATACCGATAAAACATTGAGGAGCCCATCGCCTGTTCCACTAGACGACTCTGTCTGTGATGCAGCACCACTGACTGAAGTATATCCTTCTGATACCCCACCACCCACTGCCTCAGAAGATGAACAACACGGATAAGTGTCCTCGGGTGTTCGCACTGCACCCTCATCACTAAGTAAGTAGTAAATCAAATTTCAGGGCCAAAACAAATCGAATGTCAGCATACCTAGCATAATCAATTTGAGAAGTAATTGAGTACGACTGGGAAGTGTCTCTCACTGGACGCTGTTCTTCTTCGTTGCTTTTGCATCGAACGACCGTAGCATTTCGGTCTCCCCCAGATGAGGACATAGTGTTGCGCCGGGATGATTCTGACGACAGGGACTCAATGTCGCTGCTTTCAGTTTGAGAGCTGGCAGCCTAAGAGGAAAATGTAAAAATAAGGAGATATTTTGATAAATGTACTACGTTTGAGGTTACTGCTTATGTGGTAAGCTTTGAGTAAATTTTTTTGAAGATACGCGGTTTTAATCAAACAAAGCCATCTGAAAAAACGATTGCACCTCTATCTCAGCATAAAAACTTCAACAAAATCGGGATTTTGAAGATCATAAAAGATGGAATCGAAAGAAAGTTTGCAAATGGAAAAGTGGAAACACCTAACAAAAATTGGATGGGAACGAAGAATTGAAATAATTTACTAATAAACAGAAGCACGCGAAAGATGAGAATGAACTAAGCGAAAGAAGTAGCTATGATTACATAAAAGTGAGTCTTATTTCTAACGTGGCTACCTTAAGAATAGTAAGTTAAAGGTCGTATAATGGTACAAAGAAAATCAGACATTAAGTAAAGTATTTTGGATATAACCGCAAAAGATCATACCAGGTTCCCATTTTGGACGCTGGAATTGTGAGTGGCACATCCATTCATAATCGGCTTATCATCTTCCTTAGCAACTCCATTGATGGCGATACGCCCATCAGTACCAGATGAATCAGATACGGTAGTAGCTACGTTTGCGGTGCTGGACTCCTTCTGAGTTGAGGAGTCTCGCCGCGCACTCAAGCCAGCACTTTTCTTCCGGCGATTATTCGGCATCTAATGAAGAAGCAATAAAAGCTGCTGGTTAGGTCACAAAAATGTAAACATTCACGGTAATCCGATGGACATGAATGATATGGAGACCATGGATCACTGATAGTTTATACTAGAACAATATACAAACCCAATGAAAGAGATCAACTACCCGCCTCTACAAATAAGGCAGAATTTAACCTGCAAAGTGAGCAAGAATTTAGCATGGCTGAAAACGTAGCGGTAGATACAACATGTGGAATGGCAATACATGGGCCTTCATGAACCTACACAACAAAATCGATGAAATGAGAAATCAATTCCATTTTCTGTTAATAAATCAGATCGAGCAGTTTCATCTTCTTTGAAACGATCCCAATCGACACCGCTGAGGAAGACATCGGCATCAAAACTGCA